CCGCCCCATATCCCTTTTGTGTACAGCCGGTAAAGTTTTGGAGCACTTTATATTTAAACACCTAGTAACGTATCTTGAGAGCAACATGTTTTTTACGAGCAATCAACATGGTTTTCGGCGTGGATTTTCCACGGTTACACAACTAATACACACGACTAACGACATCTCAAAAGTTTTAGATAAGGGGGGGCAAATTGACGCTATATTCTTGGATTTCGAAAAAGCTTTCGATCGAGTACCCCATAGCAACCTGATGTTAAAAATTCGAAACTTGGTCAAAAATGAGAAAATAACTGAGTGGTTGGACTCCTACTTATCAAGCCGGTATCAGTACGTTCAGATAGGTGACTCTGCCTCTCACTTGTCATCAGTTGTTTCTGGAGTCCCACAGGGCTCCGTCTTAGGTCCGTTGCTTTTCATTATCTATTTAAACGATTTACAGTTCGACTGTCTGGTGCGTTTCTGTTTCTTTGCCGATGACTGCGTTGTTTATCTCCCTATTGAATCGGTAAATGACCAGAAAGTTCTCAACAAATACTTAACAGCTGTTAGTAATTGGTGTGCCGATTGGAACATGAGCCTCAACATAACAAAGTGCCGCCAAATGACAATAACGCACAAAAAGTTTCCATTTCAATATGCTTATCAAATTAACAATGTTGAATTAGAGGTTGTTAACGAGTACAAATATTTGGGTGTAACCATGACATCAAACCTCACCTGGAACAAACACATACAAAATATTACATCATCAGCACTGCGCAGACTTTGGCTTCTAAGACACCGACTTCAGCACTGTACAAGCAGAACGAAGACCGTTGCGTACACTACGCTGGTCCGCCCCTTGCTCGAATATGCAGACGTTGTTTGGGACCCACACACAAAGACGGATTCAGCGATGCTCGAATGGGTACAAAAGAAAGCGCTGCGATTTATTCACAACGCATACAGCAGGCGAGTATCCGTGACAGAACTGCGCAAGCGTTCTGACCTACCAACACTAGAGTCCCGCCGTAAATTACATCGACTTAAAACATTACACAGTATAGTCTATGGTTATTCAAAGCTTGACTTCAATACTTATCTCGAATTCAACATGTCACGCCCCACCCGGAACAAGCACAACAAAACAATCCTAATGCCTTTCACGAGAACGAACGCTCACCGTCTATCCTTTTTCCCGAGAACGATAGCAGAATGGAACACTTTGCCACGCGACGTTACTAACTTAACTAATCAAAATGCTTTTTCAACGGCTATTCAAAATTGTGTATGATTGGAAGTGCTGGTCTTGTTCCCCTGTCCTATTGAACTAACGTATTTCACGTGTTATCTTGCTACCATGCTACAACGTACACTGCTTTTTTTGCTTTTTTTTACTTACTTATTGCATTATTGCTTCCCTGTGTACCGCGGACCGTGTTACTGGTCGCGTGTAAACTTTGTGTTTGTAAACTTTGCGTGTAAACTTTGTGCACTGTACCACTCCTGCCCTGGCTGCCAAAGGGTGGCTGGCAGTATTGAATAAACAAAGAAACAAACAAATCTGAGCACACAGGCCTACAACATTTCCACTTCCATTGGAAATGCAGCCGCCGCAGCCAAGATTTGATCCCACGACCTGCGAATCAGCAGTCGAGTACCTAAGTCACTAGACCACCGTGGCGGGGCTGGAAATGGCTGCTTGCAAAATGCATTTTGCATGAGGAGTTCACTAAAGCCAGATGCTCAAAATAACAATGATTGACAAACTCTCACGATGGAAGAAATAATTTCAAAAAACAAACTTTCCTCACAAGATCAGCTTTTACTCATACCTTTAAAATGCATCTTTCTCAAGGTCTACTATTAGGCAACTTCTCAAGTTTGGACATCATGATTTTAGTACTTCTGATAGCCCAATCGGGATGAAATCTTGCCCACATGAATTATGTGAAGAGTGGAAGTATCTTCTTTCAAACTTGATAACACCATTAAAATTATTACAAATTAAAAGGGAACGATTAGTATGGGCTAAGGATTCCAAGAATTATCACATAACAATTTTTTGTCTATTAAAATGTCTTATATGCACTTTCTTGATCGTTATTTGCATTCTATAGTTCATGTGGAGCAACATGAGCCATTAATGGCTCAGAACCATAAATGTTAAGTGACATAAAACACTTTTCCAAAACAAAACACTACTTTGAACATTGTCAAGGCAGAATATGAAAACTGTGCAACTTACTAAAGAACAAATTATATATATTTATTTATTTATCTAGTCAATACTACCGACTTCTATGCGAAGTCGTAGGCAGGAGTGGGTACATATATATGCATTTGATATTACATTTTACAACGGTAGAAAACAACAGGAATAGCTTATCCCAAAAACAATGCGTAGAAGAAAAAATCTAGAAAAGTTCTAACTTAAAAACATTGAAAAGATGAGTCAATGTAAACGTTTTGCCCCTTTTGGACAGAATGAGAGTAAAAGCATATATATATACAACAAAAAATTTTATTGCCCAAGGCTACATAAAAACAAAACTTTTTTTAACCGCATCTCCCCTTAACGTTTTTCCAAGCAACCTTTTACGAAATATTGGCCGGGAGGCGGGGAACTTGGCCACTGTATGTTCCATCTTAGGAGGGGGGGAGCAGCCAAAAATTTTTTAGGGGTTCCACTTCCTCCTCTCTCAAGGCGCCCCCTCAATATGCCAGCTAGGTTAACACATAAGTCAAATTCAATGCACTGTCTGGATATGCCAACACAATCACAAAGTGAATTATTCATCTCATTGAGCTCAGAAGCAGTGAGTACAGAGGCGCACACAAAGCTGATTGTCCTCTCCTTCCAGCCCCGCCGCGGTGGTCTAGTGGCTAAGGTATTCGGCTGCTGACCCGCAGGTCGGGGGATCGAATCCCGGCTGTGGCGACTGCATTTCCGATGGAGGCGGAAATGTTGTAGGCCCATGTGCTCAGATTAGGATGCACGTTAAGGAACCCTAGGTGGTCAAAATTTTTGGAGCCCTCCACTACGGCGTCTCTCATAATCGTATGGTGGTTTTGGCTCGTTAAACCCCACATATCAATCATTAATGTCCTCTCCTTCCAAACCGCTCAGTCTAAAGTGACGCTTCCAAAGCGTACACCTTTAGACGCGCTAAGCAGCCAGCATTTGATTCAACCACACGATTAACGGTGCGCGCGAAGCCACGGGGCTATACGAGAAACATATCTTGCTTAGAATTTCCCAGGGGCGGCACCCAAAAAGTGCACGGTATGGCAATGTGGACATGTTTTGGCGGTTCTTTAGTCTCTCCGTAAAAGCACGGGAAGCAAATTGTAATTGTTCTCGGAATGCTACATCAGTGTCCTTTGGCTGCCCCTGTAAAAAACTACATGGCCATAATAACCATGCTGTTAAACAATAGTGGCAAACGTCCGACTAGGTAGAAGATTTGCGCTCCCTTTCAGGTGATGAGAGACATCTACCCCCTCCTTTTTTTTACGCTTCTACGCTTTCTCTTCCCCGTTCATGTGTTTTCAATATAAACCTTTTCAGTTGCAAGTCGGAGCTCGTACGCACCCCTCCGGTCTTCGTCGTTCTCGCGCAGTACTCAAACACAGCGTCTGAACGCAAAGTTCTTGTAGTGCCACAAACTATAAGGGGCATGATCTTCCTTATTTCTGTAACCCACGAAGAAAATTTGACGTGCGCCGAAAGGCATGCGAATGACACGGCCACCCATTAACGCACGCGATTATGCTCGATAGATCTCTCTCTACCCGTAGTCGGATCGGCATGGGCAAGGTTCTGTTTGGCGTTGCATAAGTCAGTTGCAAGACTTAGGGGTGGTTGTTGCCAGACTGCTAAAAATTTAGCGAAAAAGTTTGCCTGTGTAGCCGAGGCTTCGCCGTGAGGGTTCAGTGTCATCCGTGGTGCATTTAGGAAGTGCGTGAGTTACGTTCGCTGTATTATTTAACAAAATGAATGTAAAACGAGTGTTCCAGAAGTCGAAGCGCATTTTCTTGCTGAGCGCGCTGCTGTGCAATTAATAGATCGTGTCGCAGAGTTGGGGAATCAACGATGCGTCGCCCGCCGTGCATTTCGCGAGTGCGATGAACTTGTTCGCGAGTGTGTGTGCGCAGATTAAACACAATGAACCACGCGTTACAAAAATCGGGGCGCGTTCTTTTGCTATGTGCGGAGCTGTGCAATCAAGAGATCGCGTCTCAGTATTACGGACGACGGGGAAAACTGAATAGAGACGCAGTAGGCAGTGCGCTGCACCCCCCACCCCCCCTTTTTTTTTCACAGCTGATCGTGCCGCGTCGACCGCGTGCCATGACGGGGACGCTACGCTTCCCCATAGCTGCGTCAGCTCAAGACATTTCGTTCGGACTCGTGCACATGTGACGAATAAACGTCCCAAGACTGGCTGATCGGGGTACGTTGGATATGCCTGGAAGGCTGCTTTATCGACGCAGTGAATTGGAGCGTATTAAGCGCGACTCGCGCGTACCTGTAATAGGACCCCGCACAAGCATTCATAATTTGGAATTTTGGTCGTTGGTGCTTATTGTGGGTGGGGTCCTGCAAGCGACGGCGGGTCCTATTTACAGCAGCACACATCAAGAGAACGCGTCCCAACGTCTGCAAGGCGCGGTTAATTCCGTAATTAAAACGGCCAGCGTCGCTCATGCATTTGCAAAATGCACCGCGGACGACACCAAAACCTCACGGAGAAGCCACAACTACAGAGGCAAACTTCTCTGCCAAATCTAGTGGCAGTCTGACAACAATAACCCTCCAAGTCTGGCAACAACTTATGCAACACCAAACAGAACCTATCCGTTCGGCATAAACGCGCTGCGCGAGTCAGACCGCGCTTAACAGCGACACCCGTGATACGGGACCATGCAGCGGCGACCAAGGACCGTGGAGAGCTATATACAAAGATCAAGATCTGATTGCGAACAATGTGAGAGAGGCCATCGCATAGACAGACCTTGCAGCAGCGCAGTTCGACGGTCACCTTACGCAGCCCACTGGTGCGTTTGCACAGGCCTACAGCAGCACTGCAATTGGGCACCGTTAACAAGTCACTTCTCCGCGATCAACAGTGCCTACCGTGAGTGGCTGGACTCAAGGTCTCGGAGAGCCTATCAGAGATGATGATGATGAGCGTTCAGCTTTGCTGGCACTCGCCCACACAGGGGGATCGGCCAAGAACCGGGCGGCACACGGAGGAGAACCGGGCGGCATCAAGTGTGCGAAGTCAGGCATTCAAGTAGTCTCGTAGCCGTAAATAATAATAACAAGGAAGTGTTTCGGTTCACCCGGTGGCACGAACCTTTTCGAGGCAAAAACGTTCGGTTCACCCAATAGCCGCTTAAAACCGGCTTGACTTAGCTTAAAGTGTATGAATAGATGGCGCTAGAGTCGGTGTGTTGAAAAACATTTTTCAGGCGATTTAGGCATTGTTTATTCTGTGGTTCAGGTAGAGTTCCTCACTAGCTTGTGACACACAGTCTGTGGCGGGTTCATCGTATTCTAGTCGTGATTCTAGTCGTTATGTTGTTTTCTCCGATGTTGGTGTTGGATTGGACTGTAATCTGTTTGAAATGGCGAGAACCGCCTCTGCCCGTGGGGTCGTGGTCGCTTTCTGTTGTTAGAAAGTGATTCATACGCAAGTCGCTGCCGCTTTTGTTAATTCCTGTGATGTCGCCGTGTTCAGGAGCTTCTCATCCGTGCTTATCGAGTAGTTAACGTCATTCGCCCGAAGCACAGAACACCTACCAGCCCGAAGTGTTTGCCACCAAATCTACAAGCAATGATAACGAGCATAAAATAAAGGCCTTTGGAACGCGATTTGTGAATGTTGGTCTGACGCATGTACTACGCGGATGTATGGTAGGTGCATGCGTGTTGCTTAAGGACTGATACTGTGCCAACGCTTTCGTTGAAGCTTGTTTTGACGTAAGTGCGCGAGATAGATACGGAATGCACAAGTTGGAATTAGAGAACGTTTTGTCCGAGTGGCTTTATTAAGCAGTCGCAGATGATGGCAATTTGTTTGCTTAGCAGTGTGCGTTTAGATTGGGTAACCAACAGTGAAGGTAGTAGTGTGTGGGTGAGGAAAGTAGTTTTCTTTGTTGCGGTGCCTTCCAAACAAATCCGTTATTTCTTCTCTTCATTGCGTCGGTCTCTTGATGTGGCACTAAATTTTGCTATGTGCTCTTCGCGACACTTCCTCTCGCTCTAGAATGATCTAGTAAAAGTTGACGCTAAAGTTCAGCCGAAGTGTTTAAAGTTCCTTGCAGCTAACCACAGCAACATCTTTTTGTCTATGTGATCAGTTGGACGCACGTTATTTGGCATGCCTTTTATAACACGAAACGTTTCTTTTTGTTTTGTTTTTTAGTTTACTGAACAGTCCGGAAAAAATCGGGGACATCTGTCCCCACTGGGACAGCGCGGGCAAAGTCTTGTACAGTCCAGCGAAATTCGGGACGGCTGGTAACACTAGTTTAGGCAAGTGTATAAAAATGAAGAAAAATGTAATAAAATAGAAATTTAATTGCTGGGAGCATTGTTGAGCTTCAATTGCTAACCCGTAAAGGTCTTTTTAAAAGTTAACATTGTCGCAATACAGCAGTGTGATGGGGTAAAGTGCTTGCAGTGTAGTGAGTGAGTGAGTGAGTAACAACTTTATTAGTCGAAGGGGTGAGGGGTAAGGGAGGCTAAGCCACGAAGGCTGCCAGGCTGTGCTTCTCGATGACTTCTTCCGCTCGTTTCAGGACCCGTGTCTGGATGTCTATGTCGTTGCTGGAGAGAAGGGCCTCCCATTGTCCCTCGGTGGGGGGTGAGCAAAGGAGGTCGGCGGGCGGGGGATCCTCCGGGCAGCCCCAGAGGATGTGGTTCAACGAGGCAACGTTGCCGCACAGGCAGCAGCGTGGATCGATGGCACCTGGGTGCATGTATGAAAACACGAGGGGGCACGGGAAGGTGCGGGTCTGTAGGCGACGCCAGGCAATCTCGGACCGCTTGGGAAGGCTGCTGTGAGGATGTGAATAGAAATATCGCTCGAGGCGATAGTGCTGAGTGATGTCGTGGTAGGTGACCAGGGGCTCCGGCACCAGGGCGTCCGACTCTGAGTGGCCCACCGCTCGGTCGACGAATCCTCGAGCGCGTTGGTGAGCTGTCTCGTTGCCGGGGTGACCCGAGTGGGCGGGGACCCAGATCAGTTCTATGCGGCACTGCTCATCTTGCTGCAGTAGGGGCCGAAGTAGCCGTAAGGTGGTAGGCGAGACGAGACCTCGCGCGAAATTCGAGATGGCTTGTTTCGAGTCGCTGATTATGACGCTTGCGTCAGCCGAGGTCGCGGCCAAAGCAATGGCCACTTCCTCCGCCTCGACGGCGTAAGGCGTTCTGACGGTGCCAGCCGTGATGGTCGGCCCCAAAGGAGCTGAGGAGGGCGACACGGAAACGACTACGAAGGCGTCCCTGCGTGCATTGTATCGGGCCGCATCTACGTAGGCGACGGCCGGGTGGTCGGCGTACTTTGCGTGAAGCATGGCGGCACGGGCTTGGCGGCGAGCGTCGTGGTGGCCCGCCAGCATATTCTTAGGTAGCGGCTTGATGTAGAACGCCGCTCGAATAGCATGGGGTAATGAGACCAGATCCGGAGGGTGGGAGGAGGTGTCGTGGCCGATGGAGGAAAGGATGTGGCGACCGGTCGGCGAACGGTAAAGGCGTTGCACTTGAGCGGAGCGGTGAGCCTCAATCAACTCGTCGAGCGTGTTGTGTACACCCAAACGGAGAAGACGATCGGTGGACGTGTTGGGGGGAAGGCCGAGGGCAGTCTTGTATGCCCGGCGGATGAGGACGTCAATTTTATCGCGTTCCGATTTTAGGAGACGTGTATAAGGAAGGCCGTACGTGAGGCGGGAAACGACGAAAGCGTCGATAAGGCGAAGTAGATCGTGTTCTCGCATGCCCTCACGCCGCGCACGGACACGGGCGAGCATACGTGCGGTCTGCTGCACCGAGAGCGAGAGCTTGTCTATGGTGTGTGTATTATGGCGGTTGGACTGTAGGATCAGCCCGAGCACGCGGAGATGCGAAACGACGGGGACAGGAGTAGAGTTGGCATGAACCGTGATGGTGGGGTGGGGAGTTTTGTAGCGACGCCGGTCGGGAGGCCGCATGAGAAGAAGGGCCGATTTGGCCGCTGAGCAAGTAAGACCGGCCGCGTGCACGTGGGACGTGACGACGTCGGTTGCGCGTTGCAACGTCTACTCGATATGGCCGTCAGAGCCCGACGTGACCCAGAGAGCAATATCGTCCGCGTACAGGGTGTGTTTAAGACCGGGGATACGGTCCAGCTTGCCAGGAAGCGAGCGGAGGACAAGATTGAATAGAAAAGGCGACAAGACGGCGCCCTGAGGGGTGCCACGAGGGCCAAGCTCGTACGTGGGAGACGGGAGGTCCCCTATGATGATTTCGGCCGTGCGGGCGGTGAGGAACGCGCGAATGTAGTTGTAGGTGCGGGTGCCGGGATTGAGGGCTGCGAGTTCGGCAAGGATAGCCGAATGGGAGACGTGGTCGAACGCCTTGTGAAGGTCCAGGCTAAGGAGAGCCTTTGTGTCTGAAAATGTGGGTGGGTCGAGGAGATCATGGTGGAGTTGTAAGAGGACATCTTGCGTGGATAGGTGGGGGCGGAAACCAAGCATGGTGTGGGGAAGGAGATGGTGTGCGTCCGTGTACGTTTGCAAGCGAGCGAGAACGACATGTTCTAGTAGCTTGCCGACGCACGAGGTGAGTGAAATGGGCCTGAGATTCTCGATTGTGAGTTTCTTGCCCGGCTTGGGGATGAAAGCCACGCGAGCGTGTTTCCATGATTGGGGGAGGTTGCCGGAGCGCCAGCACTCGTTGAGGAACGAAGTGAGGGTAGCAGCCGAAGGGGCGTCGAGGTTTCGGAGGAGCTTGTTGGGGATGCGATCTGGGCCGGGGGCGGAAGTGGTGCGGAGCTTCTGTAATGCCGCGTAGACCTCCGCTTCCGTGATATCGGCGTCCAGTACTGGGTTGGGGGCCCCAGAGTAGGACGCGAGAGGGGGAGGAGGTGTGCCAGGAGGCAGAAGCTGAAGGTATTTGGCGGACAGGTCTGCCATCAGCGACGGAGTGTCGCCGGGGTAAGCCCGGACCACTCGTTGTAACTGCTGCCGAGCGACCAACTTGGCAGAAGCAGGGTCGAGGAGGTGGCGGAGGAGATGCCAGGACTGTTTGCAGCCCAACTGACCAGAGAGACCCGAGCAGAGCTGCTCCCACTGTTGGCGGGCGAGCGCGTTGGTGTGTTGCTCGATCGTACGATCGAGGTGCGCAATGCGGCGGCGTAAGCGACGGTTGTGACGTTGCTTCTGCCAACGGTTGCAAAGGCCGGTGCGGGCGGCCCACAGGTGGGCAAGACGGGCGTCAGTTGCCGGATAGTCCTTCGTGGTGGGGATCGAGGCGGTGACTGCGTCGAGGTCCTCTAGCAGCTGGTCGGTCCACGTCGAGAGGTCCTCGATGTTGGAAGTGGCGGAGTGCAACCGGCGTTCTCGGAAAGCGTCCCAGTCTGTATAGCGGGCCGTGTGTGGGCGCGGCTTGCTGGGGGAGGTGAGAACTTGAATGGTGAGGACATAGTGGTCACTGCCGAGGGACTGATGCGTGTTATACCAGCGCGCGTCGGGCACGCTGCGGCAGAAGCTGAGGTCCGGGGTGGTATCGCGGCACACACTGTTGCCGATGCGCGTTGGTTGCGTGGGGTCGGTGAGCAGGGAAAGGTTGAGATCGTGAGCGAGCTGCCACAGCCTCCTTCCGGGGCCATCTGCCTTCGAGTAACCCAGTCCGGATGCTTGACGTTGAAGTCGCCGAGAATAAGAAGGGGTGATTTGTCTGCTTTCGCTGCAGCGGCACGGAGCAAGGCTAGGAGAGACGCGTCTTCAGTGGAGCGAGGGGGGTGTACACGTTGAGAATAAACAGAGAGGGCTGTTCACGTTGCTGAGGTAGTGTCTCGAGAAAGACGTGATGGACTGCAGGGAAGGGTAGATCGTGTCGATTGACAGCGAGCGTCCGCCGGGTGAGGACGGCCGTCACGGGATGGGCAGAGGATGGTGAGTTACTTGGTTGTAGGCGACGTAACCCGAGAGGGAGACGTCGGCGTGAGTTTCCTGTAGTACGATGATATCAGGCGCGTCCGAGGGGTCTAGTTGTTGTAGGTGGAGAAGGAGGTGGTTACGCTTGGGGACGAAAACCACGGCAGTTCCACTGCCAAATGGTGACGATGGATCGGTCAGCCATTTTTAACAGCGGAAGATGTTGCCTCGACCGGTGTTTGCGAGGTTCGGGCGGCGCCGGAGGAGGTGGTGGTGCGGGCATGGAGGGGTAGCTTTGCTCGGATGCTTCCAAGCATGGCAGTTTGTAGGCTATCAACTGTTGACTGTAGAGATTGGAAGGACGTGGCGGGGGGGTAGGCGGCGAAGTCTGTGCGCAGGGAATTTAGAGCTTCGTGCTGTGCAGTGAGAAGCTGGTGGACGGAGTTGAAG